CAATGGAAGGAAATAGAGAAATTGGAAAACGAGGACTTACCTGGGTGGAATGTGCGCCATTAAAGAAAACCCAGTGATTCCTCTCCCCTCAAAGGTTGGGTGAGATGTGAATGAAGGTGACCCAGAGAACAGCGTTTCCCTTTATCTGTTAAGGTCAGGCGTTGGAAAGTCGGCAGGTGGTGTTACTCTACCATAAAGTTATTCTGCTAGATTAAAGTTTGCATCTTTATAGGTCAGAAGTTTCTGAGACAACTATTTGTTATAAAGCCTGTAATTCCTACCAATCATATCCCAAAATAAACGTTCTTGAAGGTAAAATTCCTGCATGCTCACTGTTTCTTGGAATTTGTCTTTTTTTTTTTTTTAAGAATGTCACTGGTGTCTAACCTTTTATTTTCTAATTTCTTTAAAGTCAAGATAAAATTTTAATCTATCTAGGATGTTCTTTAAAAACAAGATATTTTCTGATATATGTTATTGGTCATGACTTATGAATTCTGCCAAGAGGACACCCTAGGGGTACCTATGGGTTCAGCGCTGGATCGGGTCTGGCCTTGCATCCCGGCCCTGTCATCTTCCAGTTGCGCGACCTCCCTGAAGCTTCACATTTCTGTGCCTTAGTTTCCTCATCCTCAAAATGGAGTAAGAATAGTATCTACTTGTAGATATTACCATGTCTTCTTATAGGATTATTAGAAGGGTGATCTATATTTACACAATAAATTTAAAGTATTTGAAGTAGAGTGCAGCTTATTTGTAAAATATAAATATGAATATATCATTAAATGACAGTTATTGGCAGTTATACTTATGAGACGTGCAATATGGTTTGTAAAGTTTCTGAGACACCGTGGGAAGCATTGCCTGAGATTCCTAGCACAGAGTGCTGCCTGGTTGGCCACTTAAAGTCAAGCTTGACTGAGCCTGCAGCATTTCTGTTTTGGAAGTTTTCTTAAAGTTTCTTTTTGTTTTCTAAAGATATCTGTTTCATTTTCACAAAGTGCTAGAACCGAAACACTCAAGAACTGGTTCTATTATTAGTTATACTATTATTATTAAATACAGAGGTATCTGCTCCCTTTTCCACAGCATTTTACAATGACAAAAGGCAAACTGAGTGGAGAGAGGGGAATTTTCTGGCTCTGCACAAACTGACAGCCCCACTTTGAACCAATTACTTGACCTTGATGTAACTTTTCATTTACATCATCATGGCTGGAAACAGGTTTAATTCCACAGATGACCTCTGAAAGACAGCTAACGGCTTCCTGGAAAGATCCCGCAGATGAATCAGGACAGAGCTGGGAACAGCCCAGTGATTGATCATTGTGTCTTCTGGGGGAGAAACACCTGCTGTGTGTGGCCATCCCTCCAGTGATGTTCTCAAGGGACCTTCCGGCTCTAACATGCTTGAATTTTTACATTTCTTTCAACCAATACAAGTTCAATCATAGTTTTCAGTTAGAAATAATTATTTGAAGATAATCAGCATAGATTTTAGTTTTTTGGTGGGTCCTTGGTGCTGGATTTAGACACAAGAAAGGAACCAGTCCCTGCCCCCTCCTGGCCCCTTGCGGGGTCCTCACAACTTTTAGGAAGTTAGTCACTTCTATTCCTTCCCACTGGAATCTTCCACCCTGCTCCTCCTTCACACTTCCTGTCTCTCACTTACCTCCACCTCAGATGGGAGCGGCCTCACACTCCTGGAGCTGGCTTCCTCCTTCTACCAGAGAGGGAGGAAGGGGGGCCGTCTCCTCTTCCGTCACCCCCTTCCTTGCACTCTGAGCAGCCTCCACTCTCTCGGACTTTCTCCATCTGCTCTTGCCTGGCCTGTCTCTATTTTCTTTCTTTCTTTCTTTTTTTTTTTTTTTTTTGTGGCTTTTTTTGGTTGGGGCTGGGTTTGAACCCACCACCTCCTTTGAGCCACAGGCGCCACCTGGCCTGCCTCTATTTTTTACTTTCCCTTCCTGCTGGCCCTTTATCCTCTGCATTTAAACATGCTCCAAATAGTTTAAACTGAACACTGAGCAAAATCAAAACTGATTTACGTCTCCTCCTCCTTCTTTTCTGGGGTTGGACTTGAAATACTTGCCCACATGCTCCTGCCCCACTCCCTTGCCTCACCCCGTGTGCCTTACATGGGAGCCAGCATGTGGCTCCCACCGCCATGCTGAAACTCTTCTCTCTGACATGAGAGGAGACAAGTTCTGCTTCAGACACGTGGAATTGAAGGTGTTTGGAGGACACCATGTGGGGATGCTCACCAGGCAGCTGGATATACACGTCTTCAGTGGAGGATAGACATTGAGTTTGAAGAAACAGGAGCGAGTTGCAGCAACGGTTGGCACCTGTGTGGTCCTGGGGGCGAGAACGTGGAGACACCAGTGGACATGCGTGTGCCGGGGAGAGAACGTGGAGCCACCAGTGGACATGTGTGTGCCGGGGAGAGAACGTGGAGCCACGAATGTGGAGCCACCAGTGGACATGTGTGTGCCAGGGAGAGAATGTGAAGCCACCAGTAGACGTGTGTGCCGAGGAGGGAACGTGGAGCCACCAGTGGA